ATTCAAAAAAAAAAAGCAAGAACGAGAAAAGAACTGATACTTATTATAGCAAGCTTCCTGTCTTATTTTTAGATCTGCTGCCGATTTAAGCCAAAAATACAGAAAGTAGAAAGATTAGTAAAATAGGATTAGGTAGGAAAAAAAAAGCAAAAGGGATACTTATCATAAAGACCATTCCTCCTGTCTCATTTCAAGCTCTATCATTAAGTCAAGAAAGATGAGGTTAGTTCTGGTAACTTATGATTAAAAAAAAAAAAAAGAGAAACGAACTTAACAAGTTTCCGTCTTATTTTTAGATCTGCTGCCGATTTAAGTCATTAAAGAAATGTATAAACTGTATAATGAAGAAATTTTGAAAGGCAAATGTGACAATTCAATTCTTGACACCTTAGAACAATTTCTAGTAAAAAAAAAGCAAAATTCGAATAATATTGCTTAAATAATTGATTCGATCCTATGGTTCAATTCATTCTCGCATTTTGTTATAAGCATGGCAAATGGGTTGAAATGAATGAACATAAAGCATTCATTTATTATCAGAAATCTGCCGAAATAGCGGAATGCGTAAAGTTGGATATTGTTATGAATACGGAAATGGTGTTGAACAGGATAAAGATAATGCATTTATTTATTATCAAAAATCTGCCGAAATGGGAGACGCTGCTGCGATAAAGAATGTTGGATATTGTTATGATCACGGAATTGGAGTTGAAAAGGATGAACATAAGGGATTAATTTATTATCAAGAATCTGCAGAGATGGGGCACGCTGGTGCGATATATAATGTTGGATGTTATGAATATGGATCTGGTAATTTGTCAATTTTAGTTAAAGGCGCATCACTAACTTGGGAAATATTATGGCATATTAATGGATAAGAATACTGGAGATTTTATTTTAGTGATGAGTTACGCGAAATTTGGATCATTGCGTGAAAATATGAAAGGAATATTTAAGCCGGAGTGGAGCGATATTGTTTATGACCTATCACGTATTCATTCAAAGAAATTTATGCACCGAGATTTACATTCAGGTAATATTTTATTAAAAGAACAATATAAAGCTTATATTACCGATTTAGGTTTATCAATAACGTTTGATGAAAAACAAGGTCATATTTATGGAGTTTTACCATATTTAGCATCAAAGGCCTTTCGATGGTTACAATTTTGATGCTGAATTAGCAATAAAGATTTGTAATGGTTTGCGACCTGAATTTAATATAGGTGCCCCAAAATGTTATGTTGAACTAGCCAACTTATAATTAAAAAAAAAAAAAGCAAGAAGAGAAAAGAACTGATACTTATCATAGCAAGTTTTCCCGTCTTATTTTTGGATCCGCAGTCGATTTAAGCCAAAGACGCAGAAAGTAGAAAGATTAGTTTCATTTAAAATAGAATTAAAAAAAAAAATAAAAAACAGGTAAGAGGGATACTTATTGTAAAGACCAGTTTTCCTGTCTTATTCCAAGTTCCAGCCGCTGGGTCAAGAAAGATCGGATAAATTATAATTTAAAAAAAAAGGCAAAAACAAAAAATTAGTCATTGTAAATATTGAATCTGATTTATTACGTATATACATACCGTAGTTTATTTATTGTGGTTGCTGAAGCTGAGATTGGCTAAAAATAACTCGAAACTTCACCATCTTTCAGGTTCTAATTAAAAAAATTCTTCGCCAAATTTTACTACATGTAATGCATTGTTCTAACCCTGACCCTAACTTTAAATAAAATCGTAATTTTAATTAATAACATAACTTTTAATATAACGTAACTTTGAATTACATGTAAATAGTACTGATAAATACATAACTTTTAATATAGCGTAACTTTAAATCACATATAAATAGTACTGTCAAAATACGGCATAAAAATATTACAGTATAATAAATATAGATTAATTTATTTTTAAAAAAAATTTTTAACGAAATCTTTAATGATTGTGTCGGGGAAATGATTTATCGGGGAAATGATTTGTCGGGGAAATGATTTGTCGGGGAAATGATTTGTCGGGGAAATGATTGTGTCGGGGAAATGATTTGTCGGGGAAATGATTGTGTCGGGGAAAGGATTGTGTCGGGGAAATGATTTGTCGAAGAAATAAATGTCGGGGAAATGAGTGTGTCGGGGAGATGATTTGGCGGGGAAGTGATTGTCGGGGAAATCAATGTCGGGGAAATGATAGGGATCCCATTTTTGGCAATAGCAATTAACAGTCATACGTGTTCTATGGGTCGAAGAAGATGATGATTGAGTAGCCGAATTGGATGAATCTTGGTTAATGGATTTTAAAATGTCCTTTGCACTTTGTTTTCGAGACATTTTAGAGAGAGAGATTGAGAGACAGAGAGAGAGATTGAGAGACAGAGAGATTAATAACAAGTTATAACTTCCAATTTGATACATTGAGTGTTCATTAGGAAATTCTTAAATTGGTTGGCAATTAATTGACAGATGGAAATGTTAATCAATAAGCAGCACCCCTGCCGATTGCCAGCGATACAGATTAGAATCGATTATTTCTGATTAAAATCAATTAATATTGATTAGTATCACTTAATTGTAAATCGATTAGCATCAAAACGAATTAAAATCGATTATTATTTATCGATTGTATATTGATTAATAACCAATATCGATTATTATTGATTTTTTTAATTGATTACAATTGCTCCTCTAGCTGGTAATTGATATCCACCCTATTTAAAAATTTCCCAATGTTTGCTTCTAATGAGCTCCCAAGTTGGTATATCTGCAAGTACAATCTACTACAATTTTTTACTAAAGTATTTTATTCGTGCAATCATAATTGGTACGAGTGGCCTAATAGCCTAGTATCTCAAGCCAGAAACTTGCTGCTTAATTAGATTTGCTATATGACAGAGTTGGTATTTCATTATCAAATTAAGAACTTATCTTAGTTTTGTATTATCTTAACCAGTTTGCATCTTTTTATATACTATCTCTCTTCATGAATACTTTAATCTTCTACTTATTTGTCCAAATACTACTAACCTGTATTTCAAGCCAAGCCCTGCTACTACCACTAGTTTGCTTACCTCAAAACTTAATATTCTTTTTCTGATATAGTGGTACTAACTAATTTATTTGTACTTTCTTATATAGTATATTACTAGAACCATATTGTATAATTGCTTTAATAACTTATTTTGTTAAAGATCAGCCTAACACTACGAAATTTTTTAAATAGCAAGCAATTCTACTTCTAACTGTAGGCCTTGTGTTATATTATTAGGAGGCATACCTAAATTCACCTTAACTTTTGACTTAACTCTTCATTATTGATTAGTGTTACATTATTGTTAGTGTATTCTGGCTTTTTTCATCAAAGACTTTTATATAGATATGACTAGAGCTCCAACTTAGTTCCTTTATATATATTAGATTAGCTCACCTATCTTTATAAAATTATCTTCTTTAGCTAGTTGTTTTATAGTGCCAGAGGTGCTTCTTGTTTAGATAAAGCCAATCTTTTACTACAGCCTTTCC